TTTTGTGGCAAAAACATTTCCCAACTCAATATATGCTCTACAGAAGCTTTATGATGGCAAAAGCAAACCTACTGGAAAATCTACCTGAATAACTACATGACACAAAATCTAGCTTCGTATTTCTCTCTCTGGGCTACAGCAGCCTTTAACTGCATGAAAGAGATGCTGGATATGTCTTTTCTGTATGAAATCTACAGTGAAACACAAGACAGAAGTACAAAGTACAAATGGTTCCCCACTCTAGCCAGAAAAATAAGTGACTCAATAGTGATACCAAAATGCGAGAGCTGGTCACAAATATACTTTTGTTTCTGTCTAGAACACTAAAAATCTCAGAGCAGCTGTTAAAGGTTGCTGGAATCAAAGGAAATTATTTTATAGGCACCAGTGGGATATCCTTACTGTACCACTTCATCCTTGTACTTCAGGGCAGTTACCAGCTCCTCCCTTGCTGGTCATGTACTTGAAAATGAGATATGGGATTAACACCTATGATGGAGCAAATGGAGAAGTACACAAATAACCTAAAAGAGCAGCCCTAAAAAGGCTTAAGGCAGAATTAACTCTGAAACCTAACAAAGTCACATAAACATCCATAGGATTCTGATGTCACTTCAAGGAAACAAAGACAGAGGTAACAACTGTACAAAGAATCCCAGGAAACTGCTTTGTTGGCAGAGCCAGTCTTCCTGGATGGTTTTGAGAAAGATATTTTCTTACTTCTCTCCAGTCCACCTGCCACACTAGTTGCCGGTTAAAAGCATGACTAGAACTAACTGTCTGAAAGACTGCCAAACAGATGCAATAGCTTGTCCTGTAACCACTTTAGCAAAATAATGTGCTGCATTATGCTCCTTGTGATTGCAGTTTCAAATTCTGTGATCCTATGTTGCAAACTTGTTTTATATTTTATTAGAATGAAATAATAAGTCATTGACTCAGAGTTTCTATCTACGTACTCAGAGTGCAAGCAGAATATGACCTGGAATAGATAAAAGGGAAAAAAAAAAGAAATAATGGAAGGTGGATGAGAAGCTGCTTCTTTTACAAGCAAAGGTGCAAAGAGCATTTGCAATAAGCACGGTAAGCAACAAACATGGTTGTTAGAGAATATTTATGACAGCAGGCACTGTGTAACATCACTGAAGCGTGCACAATGGGAGCAAGCTTTCTAGAAAACAGATCTGCAAAACAGACATGCAGTTAGGTCTAACTATCAATCACCTGAACATGTGAATAAATCTATAGGCAGTGGCCCATGTTCTGTTAAAATCAGCTTCTACCATACAGAAAACTTGCTGCCCAGTAAAGAAGCCATAAGGCCAAAGGAGCTAAAATATATTATACAAGCTAGCATAATAATAATATCACAACTACTATGCCAGCAGAAGTTTGAAATGTTAGATCTTACAGAGATTAGTGTATATACAATGATTGGTTATGTGTACTAGTTTAAGATCCCATCACACTGAAACAATTGGATTTTTGAGTGTTTGGGTTTTTATTTCATTTCATTTCATAATTCACATTCTTTAAAACAGTGCTTACTGATCCACAAGAGCACATCTATATGGACTGTTTAAGTCTCCTCTCTGCTGGAATTGTGTGTGTGTAACTCCCATTAATGCTAATGGGCATAAAGCACAAGCATAGAGGAGAAAATAGACCCCTCACTGTGAAAATAAATGTGTTCAGTTATTTTCAGATGTGATGCCAAAATCAAACAACTAAAACTACATAGTCAAAGGAGATAACACTATATAGCCTAACTGAAAGTGTCACCATTATTTTTAACTCCCTGGTCATGGACCCTGCCATGTTCTTCATGTGTCTGACATTTCTTGTTGTCATAAAGACCATGACTGGATAATATATCAACATGGGTCAAATCCTAAATTCTTACACAAGTGAAAACAGCCTCGATCCCTCACTCCTTACATTCACAAAGGATGCAAGGTTAGGCCTTATGTCTTATGTTCTTCACTAGGTCATATGTTTTCTTTTTATACCATATGGGTTAACAGCAGCAGTAAACTTGACTGCTCTCTAGGATAGTTCCTTAAAACTGTGATGAATCTATCAAAGTAAAAATTCCAACCACTTAATTTTTTCCTTAATGGTGGATAGCCTGATGTTTTCTGCTCTGATTAAAATTCACAGAATCAATGCTGTATAAGAAACAGGTAAGAAAAACTGTTTATCTTGTAAGGTGTAATTCAAAGATACGATGCTGTACTAAAATACAAACATAGTATTTTTTTCTTCTGCTGGAACCAGTGCTTTATGAGTTTACAGCTCATCTAATGTGACATTTGGAACAGCTACAAGTAAACAAAGGTTTTTAAAAGGGTGTAGTATAAGTGGAGCATTAATGATTTTAGTGAGTGTATTTAGGGTCTTTGTAAAGTGGCCTGCTGACTTTCTTATGCAAGCAATCACACCCATCTTCCCAAATCAGGGAGATGCACCTTCAAACAAGTGAATGCTACTGAGTTATCAGCCAGGCAGAGATGAGTTCTTCCAGTGATGAGACCTTTTCAGAAGATGATGTTATAGGAGACGAGGAGAGTGCTGCCGCTGAAAGGTCAACTTTCACAGCTTAGTGCCAGGATTTGCAATAGTGCTGGGTCAAATAGGAAAGTCAGCTGCTGCTGGGTGCTGTATAGTCCAGCTCCCAGCCCCTTGACCCCAGCTACATGCTCACTCGTCTACTCCCACTTGAGTAATTTCATGGAGAAAAACAGCCCAAAGAAAACAAAACAAATAAATAAATAAGTACATTTCTACTGATCTGTATTTCTCTGCACAATATGAGTGGTGACAAGCCCTTCTATCTGCACAAAAACTGGGCAGCAAGGCATGTGGCTAAGGATGGCTGGCAGGAGAAGAACTTTTCTTTTTAAACTGTCAGAGCAGCCCCATTAGATCCCAGAATCAAACCCCTACAAAAAGGACAGTCAAAGGAGGACCCCAGCTGAGCCAGAAACTGGCCAGTGTCTGCACAGTGAAGTAAAGCAAAATTCTTAAAGGCTGCCATGTTTGTGTAGCAGACACTCCCAAGAGTGTATGTGCACTGTGAATTCCCCATGCATCATGCCTGAGGACAGCTAAGGACGGAATCTCTCATCAAAGAGCTCTTCACAGACTGCCCCACAGGCTTAGTGACCCAAGAGGCTGCTACTCACTGTCCATGCCCTTGGTTCCAGGCTCTTGATCTACAGAGTATTTCTGTATCTCACTTGAGGCTTTATAGTGAGAACAGCTGGGCTATAGAATATATGAGCACCCTTCTCTTTTAAACCAGAAAAAGACTCTAAGAAACACAGCAGCCCCAGCAGTGCTGCAGCCCAGATGATCTCTCCGAAATTTCATGCAGGAATTATTGCAGAGAGACTGATACTGCCTGACTGAACCAGGAGACAAATTAATGAGTTCCTTCATTCATTACAGCAGGGCAGGATTGGCAATGGTCTCTCAGCAGCCTTGTGGAGAGACATCCATGGCTTTACTTAAGCACACAGGGAGCTGAGCTGGAGACACTGAGCCTCTGCAACATCCCTGAAGCAGAACTCCTTATGTTACATTGAACTGGACTCACACAAATCAATACTGTTGAACGACTCTGTTTTCTTTTTCAAGTAATAGAAGCATGTCTTTCTTTTTTATTCGAGTGTATCACTATGACTCATTTTGCAAGATGACGTCTTATTATACACAGGAAAGGGCAACAACTTCAATATTGCTACTTCTGCATAGAACACTATTTTCTTTTGGGTGAGCTTGCAGGAGTAAATGGTCCTATGAATGATTTGGTGTATGATATGCAAAAAGAGACATTTCTACAGCCTGTCTAGACTCTCAGACAAGATCAGACTGTGCTGTCATCAAAGACATTTCCACAGCCTGTCGTATCACTTGAAAGACAGAACAATCATGCAAAACGAAAAATAAATAAAAACAGCTGACCTGCCAGTGTCACAGTGGAAATCTGAGCACAGTAAACTTAGACAATTTAGAGATTATGCTAACAACATGGCAAGAAGTTTCAGCAAACATTTGTGAGGAAGGGCAACTCCTGCACTAGCGAATGAAATCCAAAAATATGAGTCATGCGCAAGCAATTTTGCTATGGGCCATAAAATCACTTTATGAGAGTTACAGATAATTCTGTATGCATTCTATAATGTTTCCCTACTGTGTAGAGATGGGTATCTCCGTATCCTATCACAGATAATGATGGAAAACAAATTCTCTACATAAAAGCTGATTGCTCAGAGATTCACCCTTACCTGTTCCAAGGGATTGTAATGCCGATGGAACACTTTTATACTGCATTCATCAACAAAGAGTTAGATTCATCACTGCCAAACACACTGCAGTTTAGATGCTTGTTACAAGATGTAGCAGGGTGAATTGAGAGCAGCCTTAGAATATGCATCCTGCTGTAGTCTATCATGCATGCCCCTACTATCCTTCAAAATAACACTTCTCATTTCCTCCTGTTTGTACTTTTGCACATATTCAGACATATGAAGCAGTATCAAAAGAACAGATGCATTCTATGCATGTCAGGCTGAGAAAAACTTACAGCAATAAGCCAGTCATAAAATAAGAGATACTGGAGTATAAAAGGTGAAACCTTTAGGACCAATTTTAGAATAGCACTGCCTCTTTTTGCACCTCAATTTTTTCTTTATCTTCTTCTAACTTTTTCCAAATGCACCCACAGAATGATTATAAAAAAAAAAACAGTTTGAAAAAGACTGGAAGCTTTTAAGAGAGACTTCTTTCATGAGACTTCAACAAGTTAACTCTTTTGCAAGGTAGCTTTACAATTAACATGCTGTTGGCAACCGAAATTCAACGAGGACTCCACTGAAAGAGTAAGACAGATTTCTTTCTTCAACTTGGATGTGGCAGTCTCCAGGAGTTCAGCTTCGAAACAAACACAAAACCCCAACAAAACAAACAAAGCACAAAAGAATCCCAACAGAAGATACCTCTCCAACATCATAGACCCATATGCGGCCTTCTGAGTCACCAACTGCGACCTCCTTGCCAGCCTGGGCCCAGCGCACGCGGTTCAGGGCAGACGCTCCCTCTATGGTGACACTGGCTGTGGGAACCTGTCAAAACAATAGCAACAGGAAGGACAATAAAATCACACTGCCTACAAACCCAGGGGTCAGTTTGGGATGTCCTGGATGAGTCAAAGTCCCTTGGCATTGCTGGAAGAAGCAAACAACTCTCATTGGGGTGAGAGAAAAATGCAAAAGGATTCATTGTTTGTTTGATGATGTGCTAAAAAGAGAGAAGAGTAAGAGATTGCTAAGAATGAAGGGTAAAGGGCAGTAAAACCATTTTTTCCCCTTAGTCCTGGAAACGTGCAAAACCTACTTTTTTTTCTCAGAAGTCACTAACATGGCCAAGAACCAACTGAGAGCAGGATTTGGCATCAGTCCTGGCCTGGTTTCTGACTCAGGCCCAGATAACCTGACAGTCAGCAGACACATCTCTGTATTCATGCTGACACATCCTTTAAATCCATACTCACCTCTGTGGCTAGATGTAGAGGTTGAAACTCAGGTTTTCTATCAGAAAAGTCCTGAGCTAATCACTTTAGAGTGAGGACACGGCAGAAGTGAGAACAGCTGAGCTGACATTTTGAAACACCTACAATATATTCCCACAATTCTCTTTTACATCCCCAGGACATTACTTCTGCTTTAAATACACCTGGATGCTGTCTAATTCCTAAACCCCCTCCCTGCCCCAAGTCAACCAACTTAACAGGTGATCCACAAGAACACATGAGAATTCTGGTTAATGCGTGGGATGAATAAAGCAATGAACATGATCTCAAGAGAAGTATTTGTCATCTATGCTGGAATGAGGGCATCAAAAGATGCTGGAGGAAGGAACTGTGTGGGTGTTTGTCCCAGATAGGTGGATCACTCAGTTGATTTAGGTCACCTCATATGACAAATGACAGTAACCTGCAAGCCTACTAACGCTCCACCCAGCTGCCTTTAATAGGAGAGAACCTGCCTGAGCAAGGAGCATAGAGCTTGGCATAACAGCCTTCCAAACAAGGGCTTTAGTTTCAGTGCCTTTTAGGTCAAGGCAAATGGGATAGGGTAGCTGCAAAAACAACTCCTCCACCACATCCATTTGGTGGGAAAAAGTTTTGGTAACATGTGAGATGACAAGGAGTGTCCCAGGATCTTTAAATGGGCATGGAACGGAGAGCAGTCCAGGTTAAAAAGAAGTAGCTGGACAAGAACCAGAGTCCTGGCTACCCTGGGAGGAGTGACAGGTACTGCTTCTGTCCCCATTGGCAGTACAGAGCAGCAGAAGCAGGAAGAAAGCAGTCTGAAGGTCATACTAAACCCTGGTCGAACAATGACAAACCAGCAAGATTAACAAAACCAATACTTTGCTGACTTCAACTCGGTTCTCTGACTGTGAGAACCGAGATGGATCTAAAGATCCTGGACAAAAATAATTTTAAAATGAACATTGTACAGCTGCTATGCCAATCTCCTCCTTAGCCCTAATGCCTCCATTGTGTCACACCAGATGAGTGACAGCAGGAAGCCAAACCTCTGCAGACTTGCTGACACTCTCGTTGCAGCCGCAGCGTGTGCACTGCCACGCCAGCAGCTGGACAAGGACCGGGAATCTGGGCTGCTTCCCTTGCCTCTGCCCCTGGAGGCTCCCTGCTCCCCCTCACCAACCCTGACACCAGCCTGCCAAACCAGCTGGCACCTCAAGGGCAAGGATTCTGCCACAGCTAAAGCATCACCTTGGCAAAGGGCTTCACAGCAGTGTCCTGAGCCCCACAAGAGAAATGCAGGAGGATTTTGTTTGCAGAACGATGAATGATGTAGAAATAATACTGGATACCAATCAGAAAGCAGATACCATCCTCCCCCCTTTTAGGAAGCCATTCAAATGCAAATAACTACTGGACTCATCTCCCCATTGTGCAAGGCCTAGGTCCTGTCCAAGGCAGTATTACCCAAAAAAGCTGGCATGCACAAACTCCTTGTCCCGGGTCTGTTACCTAAGAAGAGTCAATGGCTGTAAGCTGACATGGAGTCATTGATCCATGATAAAAATCACAGTAAAAAACAAGCAAGTTTTAGTGCTGTGATCATGGATTTCTGAGGAAAAAAAAAATCCAGACAAAGTTAATTTCATAACATTTGGGAATGGGTTTTTTCAAACAGCTAAATGCCAGATTTTAGAGGACTAAGCCACTAACCAGCTACATTTCTCAGAAAACTGCAGATCGCAGATATATGTTTCATGTGCAAATACACAGTGCATATTTAAGGCATTGAATTTTCACAAAATCTTTCAGGAGGCTGTAATACATAACTCTAGAGCTGGGGTTTGGTTTAGGTTTTTGTTTTTGGGGGTTTACTTTTTGTTGTTGTTAATACAGCATTCTTTCAGTGTTCCATATAAAAATAAGCACAAATGCCGCAGACACAAGATACAACCCATGCTTTTTTCAAAACCTAATGGTTTTGAAAAATCCTTTTGCTAATCCACAAAGCTATCTAGCAAAATAAAAAGCAATACTGAAACACTCTTTAAAAATCCAAAGAAAAAGCCTTTTCTCCAGTGATATGGAGAGAAATATAGTCAAACCATAGTATCTTAAAATAGATTTGTCTGTTCTCAGTAGTGATAGTTTAAATTACATACGCCTATTTTAGACTTCAAGGTAAGAGTTTATTTATAATGGTAGCATTATGTTTTTAAAATCACATTTGAAATACCTTACAAATTCTCTGAAGTTGGTGCTTGTCAGATTTTAAACAATTTTGAAATGAAATTTTAACAGATAACAGATTAAGAAAGATGCAGTCAGAAAAACCTGTATGATAAGAATACAGCTTTTTATTATTATTTTCATTGCCTATGTAGTGTCAAAACCTGCTTGCAAATACATCTGTTACCTGTTTCTAGATGTAGACACCATCCTCACACTTTAAAAGCTAAGGCACAACATAGAAAAATCCCAAGAAACATTTGACAGGATAACACAGAAGAAATAAGCGACTTTGTAAGTCAGTTTTGTATCAGTTCATACATAAATAAGACTCATCAAGCACCCAGAGATCTTCTCCAATCTTGATCAAAAAATAAATGTTACGGATACATCAGTAAGAAAGCAGCATTTGCTATCCTGAAGCTTTTTGCAAACCTCACTACACTGATCCAGAAAAGTAATACTCAGTTTGCAAAAGAATGATGGAGTGGGTAAGGATTTTTTTCTTTTCAACTTTTTGTAATATGCATTTATCAGATATAAAATAAAACATGATGACTTTCCTTGCTATTATAAAAATAATTTCTGATATGCAGAAATAAACATGAAGTACACCAATAGCCTTGCAACTTTGCAACAAGATTTTGAAAATAATTATTACACTGATTAAATCCTTGGTACACTCCGATGATCTAAGTTATTTGGTCAGAAAGCATCCAGCTCACAGGAAAAATGTTTCCAATAAATACAGAGAGCAACACTAGTGGAAACTCTGCTGAGATTCAAAAATTTGAAGGTAGCATATTATAACTAAACCCAGGTGTTTTCTTAATTGATTTTCAAAATTATACCTAAATATTAATGCAGCTTATTCTCCAAATTAAACAAAGCCAGGACTCCTTAATAACAATCACATCTAGTTCTTACACAGAGATTTTTATCAATAGCTAGCAGTTAAACACAGTAATAGACCTGTCATTTTCTACTGTCTTCACAAATACTTTGACATCACATATCTGACATCTAAAAGTAATAGCAATCTAAAAAAATAGGTGTTTCAAGATCTCTTACTACAAAGGCAGAAGTGCTGACAAGGAGTTTTTCTTAGCAAATAGCTGTGCAGACTTAAACGGCATAATCAATTACAGAAATCTGGAAAATTATTATCTAATTATGACCTACCAGATAGAGGGTAAAAGCAAACAACGATCACTTTCAGTTACGATTCTTTGAAGAACTGTTTGCAGTTCTCTCTTTCAGAGATACTTTTGTTGCTTCTCCTGCGTAAAAAAACTTCACATCTATTCAGACTCTACCAGTTTATCATTTATCCTGATTTTTTTCTTTGTTTCATCACTGCTCAGTAAGGAAAGCAAATTATATTTCTGTGTCCAGAGACCCAAATTTGATTCTTACAAAAACACAAAGCTCGGATACCATGGAAATAATTCCATTCTGATCCTACACGAGAGCTGATTTTGACCTCTGAGAACGGAAATAATTTGTGAAATCAGGGGGTGGCCTTGCATACAAAATAAAAGCAGGATGAAGCTTGAAATTAATTCTTTTTTTTGATGTTCCTATATATTTATATGTAAACAGACTGAAAGCAGCAGCGGTTTGTTACATACAACCTTATTATTGATGGGAATGGGATCAAGCAGTCCAGACTAATTTTTTGGAAAGAAATTATGGTCTCCTTGAGTAAAATGGCAAAACATCAGTTGATTTCAATTTCAGCCCTGGTACTTGGGGGGAAAGGATTTTTTTTTTCTTCTCAAAATGCTGGGTTTTATGCTCTGTGTTTAAGCCTGCATTAATGAGAACACCTGAAGGATATGTCCCTCCCTTCCCAAAATAAATTCTTAGGAGACTCCTCCTGAATATCCTCCAGCTGTATGTGCTCTAATTAAAAAGGCTGCACTGCTTCCTGCTCAGAGCACTTCAAAAGGCCTCACTGCTCCCCTTGACAGTGCAGTGCCCAGTGCTGGCTCCTCTTACCTGTCCGTGCTTATTTATGGCCAGCACCACTCACTGGAAGCCATAAACTGCACCCGTATTTTACTCTGACTGAAACGCACAGCAAGTTTATGTGAAAGGTATAATAATGATCCAACTAATCTTAAAAAAAAAATAAAATAAAAATAGGGTGTAAGGAGGAAAATACTGCCACTTGCTCTTCCATCTTCTCTTCTTTTGGGACATAAAAAGAAACTCACCAGTTAATATGTGGCCTTTTATTTTTTTACAGTTTTTTCTGTTTGTTCTTAGTTTTACATAGCATTACGTAAAACACAGGAAGACTTAGTGCATGGAAAAATACTTCAATTTTTGTGCTGAAAAATGATTACTGGCCATCTAAGATTGACCTCAGGTGATAACAGGTTTTCTGAAAATCATTTTGCAGTGAAACTCAAATCCAAAAAAAAAGAGCATCAATTTAAGCCTCTGGTGTTTTTAAAAATTGGAAATAGTAAGAGGAAAAACCCGACGTTTGGCACATTTAGAAAGATACTTTTTAAAAAACAGTGTTTATCAGTTTCAATCTTTGCTAAAAGTGCTCTGATTAATCCTTTCTCACCAGTGAAATTCAAACACGAGACCTTTCCTTTCCAATGGTCCCCACTATTTAGCTAATGGCAGTGAAAAGGTAGTTTATTTGCATTTGTACCTTTAAGTTCCACAGCAAAGTTTAAAGATAAAAATAAGGGTGAGGGTGTAAATCCCCAAATAACGTGTGAGAGAGATGCCCTGTGCTTTAGAAGACTGAAGCAGGGTACCAAGCGCCCCAAAGGCAGGATGCGAGGGGAGATGCAGGGGCACACGCTCGGTTTCTGACACGCTGGAGGGGCTGGCACGGGGCCTCCAAGTTCCAGTCCCCAGAGCCCGTGGCACAGCGGATGGCACATGCAGAGGGAGAGCAAGTCTCGCCGTGCTACACGAGCCCGGTCCCGCTGGCAGTCAGCGACACGCCGAGGCAGTCAGCGGGCTGCCAAGGTGTGACCGCCTGGGTTTGGGCCGGAATCGCAAGCCCGGCTCTCCCAGCGTCAGAAACGGGGTGAGGGGATAAAATAATAATTTAAAAAAACTCCAGAACGGGCGCGGTTTCAAAGTGCACCTTAAAATAACAGAGGGGGAAGGAGCCTCCTCCCCGAGCCGGCACCGCGGCATTTAATTGCGCTGGCGTTCTGCCGGGGGTGCCGGGGCCGGCCCTCCCTCCCTGACAGGTACCGAGCGCAGCAGCCCCGCCGCAGGGGAGGCAGCGAGGGAGGCGGGAGGGAGGGAAGGAAGGAGGGCCGGCAGAAGGGGACGGGCGGGCGCCCCCGGCAGCGGGACCTGCCCTCCCTCTCCTCCCCTCCCCTCTCCGCCCGCCCCGGGGCGCGGGCGGCGGCCGACGCCGGGATGTCCCCGCCCCGAGGGAGCGCGGCGCCCCTCGCAGCCCCGGCGGGAGCATGGCCAGGGTGCCCGGCAGTGCCGGCCCTCACAGGGTTAAGGGCTCGCCCGGCGCCCCGCTGCCCGCCCGCCCGCGCCTTCCCAGCGCCGCCGCGCCGCCTCACCTCGGTGTCGTTATTCAGGTTCCACAGATCCAGGCGCCCCATCCCGTCCACGCAGGCGAAGAGCGCGGGATGCACTGGCGACCACATGACATCGTAGACATAGTCGGCATTGTCTTCAAAGGAGTAGAGCGGCTTGTTGTGCTGTAAAGCAGAGAGCGGCATGAAGACTTCGTGGCGCTAGTGCTGCCTGGGGCTGTCTGGCGAGTCTAATTAAAAACTTTGCACATTTACAAAGTGTCATAAAACTTCCCCAGATGAAAGGTCCTCCGCGAAGGGCGGGACTGCGCTTTAATGGGGCAACAACTGTCCGGTGGGATAAATGAGGTGCCCGGTGTGAGGGGTGTGGGACGCGCGGATGACGGGGCGGGGAGAGCGCCCGCTCCCGCTCCCGGCCGGCACCCCGGCGGCGGGAGGGGTGCGGGGGGCGGTGCGGGAGGCAGCGGGCACGGACCCCCGCTCCCGCCCGAGCCGGGCGCGCCGGCCCAGGCTCCGATAAGGATCGTGAGAGCGGCGGGAGCAGCGCGGCGCCCCCACGGCCCCCCGCGCTCCGCGGGCCGCGCCTGACACCTAGCGGCGGGCGGCGGCAGCGCACCGGCCCCGCGCTCCCCGCGCCCGGCGCGCTCCGGAGGGAGGGAAGGAGGGAGGCAGCTCCGGAGGGAGGGAAGGCTGTCATCTGCGGCAGGCGGGGAGTCGGAGGGAAGTTAGGAAGTACACCAGGAATAAAGTGTAATTGTTCCTCATGAATTATTCATCGCATCTGGCTTGTCTTTAATTTTTGCATAATGGCTTCGCTAATCCCCGATCAATTAATGGAAAATGAAATTTGAATGATAATGAAAACTCCAGAGATGAAAGAAATTAAGTATTCTCATGGCTTATGACAGAAATCTAAACAATGGGACTTCTCCGAGGGTCTCCCTGAGTGCTTCCCTCCTCCTGCCGCTCCTGCCGCCTCCCCGGCGAGCGCGGCCCGGCGGGACGGGCGCCCATGGTCCCCCCCCCGGTCCCCCCGCGGTCCCCCCGCGGTCCCCCGGCCCCGGGAAATGCAGCATCACTGAGCGGGACGTGTGAGTGTCCGGGCCGCACCCCTCGAACATCTCGGTCAGGTCCCTCTGGAATGCACCCTCGTGCATTTTACAAAGCAAACACTGTCCGGAGTGCCTCAATGCATAGCCATGCATAATTTTTCCAAAAAGTGGAGTGACCAATTGCAAGTGTTATATAGCTTTCCTCTCGTATATTATTGATTTAAAGCGATAACGCATTTGGTTTGACATCTATTTACAGACAGGTCCTTGCTAGTTTTGGTTTTGGTCCTCTTGCACCCCATGGTGCTTGGATGGAAGCTGGGGCTGGGAGCACTGCAGGGTCAGTGCGTGGGACAGGCGTGTGTCCATCTCTGTGCTGCCATGTCTCTGAGTGTTGGTGTGGTGTGTTGCTGTTGCAGCACTGTATTGTAAACAGTTCTGTAACATTTCTGGCCACCACAGGTATCACAAATATACAGAAATACACAGGGATTTATTCCGGAGGCTGGGTTTTCCTCAGCTTGAATTAATGAAAGATGCTTTGATTACAGGATTGGGTCTTAAATTTTCATAACTTGCATAATGGTTTTTGTCCATTTCTTAAGACTGGCAAACATTTTGTGTAACAATGAAATGAAATCAGAGCTTGACCTTATTACCTCGAATTTGTACACTATTTAAATTTCTTTTCCCAGGCTGGAGTTTTGCAAAACAAAATGAAAAAATTACAAAAATATTTTCGTTCCTGAAGAAGGTCTTTTTCTCCAAACACATATGTGTCTGCCTACAATATTATCAGAGGACTTACTTACAAGTGTTAATGGAATTACTTACATGCCTGTGCTAATGCTTTTCCAGGGTTTAGGGCCAAATGAACACCAAACTTTTGAAGAGGCAGAGGTATTAAATAGGAAATTTCAAAGTGAATCTTCACAACTGTGAGCTAGGAAAAAGTATTTAGAGAGAGCTATATGGATTCCCAATGCTGCACTGTGGGCTTTCACTGAAAACATCTAATTTAGGTTCAAATACATTGAGTGTCCAAATCCTGGTGGGCATTGAAGATAGTAGTATGCCAAAAGAAAAAGAAATCTGGTCTACTGCTAGATGAATGCTATTTTTCTTATTCATGGGAAAAGTGCTGTACATACACCACTTTAACATTTAATGTCATGGGAGAAGTAACAAAATTCCACTGAAGTTAAGGGCCTATTAAGATATCAATCAATCCAGGGCAGATTTCAATCAGCATTTCCTTTTTGTCAGCATATCAAAACTTGTTATGATCTTAAGTGTGGTACTTTTAAAATGGCTTTCTAAGTACTGTTATGTTATTTTCCACTTCATGCCTAAAGACCAAGGCATTAGAAGGAAGGTCAGGAGGTTTGGTGCTAGTCTATATCTTACTGTGCACATGTTGCATAGTCTCTGGGAAATAGCTTTAGCTGATGTGCCTCTGTTTCCCTGTTATCAAAATAAAAACACTTCCAAAGTTCTGGAATTTGAGGTGAAAAGCCTCAAAGACCAAAAATGAAACGCCTTTACCATAACAGTGGAAATATTCAGTCAGATAGAAAGTCAGAGGGAAAGTGTGGACAACAGGAATAATATGGCTTTTGAGAAAGATCCCAGACATGCAAGGAATGACACACAAATTAATGGAGCAGAATAGGGCGTGGAACACTGCAAAGAAATAAGAAATTGCAGGATTGTGAGCAGCCCAACCAAAAGGCAAGATGAGCTGCAGTGTGGCTGGGAAATCAGAGAGAAATCTTGTGGCAGAAATCAGGCAGTGGTAGTGGAGCTGAGCTACACCTTCATACTGCCCCCAAAATCCCTGTCCTTCCAGCCCGACTAGCTGCCAGTGGAAAAAGAGAAAGTATCTCCCATACTGTCTTGTCTTCTTGCATTGTTTAACCAGAGAAGAACACAACAACTGCATAAGGTCCATCTTGCTTTGTGTCCTGTCTCCAATACTAACAGCATCTGGCCTTTCTTAAAAGTTGACATTTCATCCTGGTGTGAGAGCAGTTATGTTGGTTTCATTGTGAAGACTCTCCATTTCTGAGTTTAGGGGTGTGTATAAATGTTCTCAGGACTTCCTTACTGTGAGCCTGCTCCCTTACAATGGGCCCAGGCCTGTGGATCCTGTAATGCAAGGATTTATGAGTAAGAACTTCTACTGACTGCTTTTAGAAAATGTTGAAATGTGGAACCATGTAAAGGTCACTTTAAAGCAGTTTTAAATTACCAAAACTTCAGACCTACACAATCCATAACTAACATATGGGTATTATTATAAAACAACTGAAGTTTAAACTTGATGAGCTTTCATTCTTAAATATCAACCCACTCTGTTATTCTATAGAACAGAAGAAACAGTTTAAAGCAGTATCTTCAGAAAAACTTGGGCCAAATCGACTTATTACTGAAAAAGAAAAATGTAGGGTGAAAATACAGCCCTAAAGAATCAATGGAGTTTTGCCATTGATTCCAAAAGGATATGACTTGAGCATTTCTAGTGGAAAAAGCAAAAAGCCAATTCCAAGACGTGGGATTTTTTCTCATTTATTTAAACATGTTATCAATCACTTATCCTCAGTGTTTGTATAGAGGCATTGTTTAAGAGGACAATGAAGAGTGAACGTTTTATGTACCTATTGGCTGTCTAGGGAGTAAGACTTGTCTGTGAAATAAGAAGCTCACCTAAATAAATTCTACACATTTATATAAAAGAGGGGGTTTTTACACATATAAATTTGACCAGTCTATTCCACTTATTTGCATAGAAGAATTTTCTTTAATCCGTGAGGCGCCACACATGAAGTAGCTAATTATCCATATACAGGAATGTATACATATACACAGGTTTTAACTAGCATCTGACTTCTAAAAAGCCATGGAAAAAACTATTGGCTTTGCCATTTCATGAAACAAGCACTTTTTTACACGTTGCCACAATTTCTGTGGGTGTCAGCTCCACTTAAAGGTACTTTCCTAGGCTGTACCTTCCGCAGTAAAGATGTGTGGTGGGTGACACCACACACTCTGCTGTCTCTACTTCTTTCTTTCTACCCAGTTGTCTTCTATTCTAAAGATGATAAGCCAAATACCATACTTCTGGCTCTCACCATATTAACAACAGCCATCAGTATTGTGCAGTACTTGCAAGTTGATCCAAGATGATTTTGTTTCTCTGGGTGTACAGAAAATATTATAGATTCATTAGTCCTTGGCATAGAAACTTTCTGAACAAGCTAATGTTTGTTTAGGCTCAAGCTCAGGCTTTCAGGCACTTGGAAAGAGCACAGTTAGAGTGGTCCTGAGCAGTGTCTGTTCCTCTGTTTGGCCCTTGAACAAACCAGGGAATAGGAGTTGGGAATGAGATGATCTTTACAGATCCTTCAACCCAAACCATTCTATAATTCCATGAACCCGGTCCCTGTGAGACCAAGTATTCTATAAATTGTCTTTATTGATTAAAAAAAAAACAAAACCAAAACCACAACATGCAAAATGGTGTCAAAGAAAGACATTTCTTTCAGCACAGATTACACATAGGGAAGGTACAGGATTCTCTCTTTCTTTAAAGTGAATGCTGCAGTGTCACACTGACTAGATGGTGTGAAAGGAACTGGGACAGGGCACAGCTTTTGGAACTTCTGTTCAGGATAGGATCTGAGCTTGTTCAGTGTTTTATAGGCCCAGTCTTCTCCATCTTGAAATATTTTGAAATATCAATATTTTGCTGAATCCAGGCTCATTGTTTCGCTTCTGAGGGTGCCACTTAACCAGGCCAACTCAAAACATGCAGACAGCACAGCAGAAACGAAAAGTTGCTGGGAATATTGAGTGAAATACTCATCAAATTGGCTTTACTCTGGCCTTGACCTTTCCTCCTTCAAGGTGTCCTTCTTGGGACACCATCTATTAGCTGTTTTAGAGTTACTTGTCCATACCTCTTGTGGTGAGGTGAGGAGTTCAGTCCTCTGCTCTGTAGAAGGTTCTACTGCTCTGTAAGCCTCTATGTTCTCTCTGTGTTTGTACGGAGTCAAAGAGGCCCTGGTTTTCATTCAGACTGACTGATCTCCACAGGAAATTTGCCAGTTCTGG